AAGCCAGGTCGTCCAATCCAAAGTGGCGGAAGCCACACAAACTTGGTGGATTGACTGCGCCGTGTTTCACGTTCGTGGTCCATGCGCAGTTTTTTCGAGTCCTGGTCCTTGTCGTCATCTTTCTAAAGAGGTTTTCCAAGCCCATCGTGACAATTGTCGCTGTGGGGACAAAGCCGGCAAAACCTACCAAAGCCTTGTGAACTGAGAGATGCTTCAAATCGAAATCGACCCTTAGCCGAGTCGGGTCCTTCCTGGAAGTCTTAGGCAGTGAATCCGAAAAGGCTTCTCCGAAAGGAGAATGCCGGGTCCTCGGTGTTCGGTCATGCTTGTGTTCGCTGTGCAACCGAGTACGAGCAGGTGGTTAGAAGGAAGTCCGTGGCCCCTCGGGCTCGGTCCTGCGCTTTAGGGGCTTTGCTCCAGTCAGCTTTCCTTCTTCTCCGGCTGTGGCAAATTTAGCGTTGCCAACGGTGCGAGATAAGTCTTCTCTCCCCCTTCCGACCGCACAGCTCGCCTGCATAGTCCGAGTTTCGAGAGTCCGTTTGATTTGTTGGCCTGCCTCCTAGGCTCGGAATCGGAGAAGGAAGCTTCCCCCGATGCACAGGAAGGTGCGCTGCGGATATCGGCGCATTCGGCAGTAGCATCGAACACATTTTACGCCAGGTTCCGAATCTGACAAANNAGGCCGGCGAGCACTGCTGCAGCAGCTATTCCTTCTTGGGTAGATCAGTACAATAAGTCTGAGCTACGTGTTGGGTGTTTGTTGGCGGCTCCACCCCCAAGGATGTAAGCCCCAGCCTCCGTAATAAGAGTCCGGATCCAGCATGAGATCCACTCATCGTTGCTGAGGTCGGTTGCTTGAGATAATTCCCAACCCAACCCAGGAGCCTTGAACATTCAAGATTCTGGTTACATTTGGTCCGCTCCGGCAGCTTGGGTTCTGCAAATACTGCGGGTTTCTCATTACCGGATTTTGGAGCTACGCGAGGGATGCTAAATATGAGGTTGAGATTATTCGCGTTATGTGCAAGTAAATTGTGCACGGTCCTGCTGGCCGTGCGGTCGCCACAACCACTGTCACAATGCGAGGAGTGAAAAGGTGTGAAAAGGTATGCTCTGTTGATTGCGGCACCATCCGACATCCTGTAGGCAATTGCAGTGACTGCTGTTGCTGCTGCTGGCTACGACTCCTACTACGACTACGACTACGACGACGACGACTACTACTACCACTACTACTACTACTACTACTACTACGACGACGACGACTGCTACGACGACGACGACCAACCCCACTGCTACCACGTAGTATTACGGCGACGGCCGACGACAGTGCTACTACCGCTCCCCCTGCTGCTGCACCAACTGTAGTACGACTCCTGCAAGAAGCTTCTGGTCATGCGGGGGTTTCCGAAAATAGGGGACCCTATTAGATAGTACCCTAAATAGCAGGATCTATCTCTATCTCTATATATATATATATATAGATAGTACCCTAAATAGTAGGATCCTTAGTATAAATAAGGACCTCAAAATATAAGGTACCCCAATTTTCGGAAAGTCCCTTGTTTTGCCACGGCAGGCTCGCCTTCTGCCTCCGCGAAACGCAGCGAGCCATGCTCTAACACGCTTTGTGTGTTGTAATCAGTCATACTAGGAGCCAAGAAAGCAGTACTGCCAAAAAATCACGCAGATGGTGCGACTGATTTCAGTGCGTCAGCAAAGATCTCTATGTCGCTCATGTCGCATTACTGTAGCTGCAGGCCGCGGTCCAGACAGAAGCGAGCTCGCCGGAAGAAGGTGCTTTTTGCCTCATCTTGTGAAAGCTTTGAGTGCTTTCTCATTTATCTGGCCCGCAGGAGGAAGCTGAGGAGTCTGATGATAGGCCACGCTTCAATCCACGGAATTTGGTGCGGTTACAAGTTGGGCAATGGGTTTTCCGTAGATCCGGGATCCCGCTTCCAGCGTAGCTGGGCTCCTGGAGCAAGCGCAGGTCGAGCGGTTCAAAGGTCAAGAAATCGCCGGGATCCAAGGGTTGACTGATAGAGACCTGCTTCGTCGGGCGCCTGGACTCGTTCTGCCTAAAGTTATTGAAGTCAACCTCACCGCCGTTAGTGACGCACACGTCTGCATTGTACAGGAAAGTGCTGCGAGAGCTCATCGCAGTGGTTGTAAGAGTAGTAAAGTAAATAACGCGTTGCTGCCTGTTACTTGATACTCCCTGCAGTTCTCAAGGCGGCTTTCGGGATGTTTTGTGGTCTGCAGGCAAGGGGCAATACAATACAATACTCATCAAGACTCTATCACTCTATCTATCTATCTATCTATCTAACTATCTATCTATCTATCTATCTATATACCTATCTATCTATTTATCTATCTACAAAATGTATATTTAATGTATACTAGAGCTTATGCTATGATCTACTATGCTTCGTTTCGGGGGGTGGGCGCCACAAACTCTCCCAGGCCACCGAGACGACGGGCTTCGGCGAGGCCGCGGCTTGTCTTACTCAGCAGCTTCGACTGAGATCCATAGCTCTGTGTGACTATAGGTAGGACTCTAAGTAGTAGGGAGTTTTGGTGATGATGGAGTCAGGTTCCTGGCAGGACTTGCAGAAAAAATTGCAAGATCCTTGCAAAAGGCCAATCATCCTAGACGTCCTAATTATAGTCAGAGCCGTCACTGTTTTTTCATCGCAAGCCGCGGAGGAGTCTTCAGGAGAAGCGAGCCCCGAGCGAAGCCTTCTGCAGGGGGCTCCAAACCTCCAAAGTTTCGGTTTTCCCATGGAACTTCGCACCGTAGCTACGCTCTGTGTGCATGCAGGTCAATGGTGTGAACTAAGCACCGATTTCAGTGAAAGAGGCAAAATCCTCTAGCCAGTGGGAGCTCTCCTAAAATTCCAAGTAGCTGTGGACCATGGCATGGCCCTGATCCGACTTTTGACCTACCTTTGGAGCCGTGAGCCTGGCGATCTTGGCAATGCCTCCGAAGCTGGCAACGATCCCATCCCATGCTGTGCTCATTGACCTCACAGCAGGGTCAGAGCACTTGCTCTCACCTGACCCATCGCCTGCGCATGGTACCTCCGAATCGGAAGACATCGGACATCAAAACGTCCCCTCTTGGAGCAGACAACAGAGCCCATGTTCTGTGCTGTCCGTTGCCTCTTCGGGGAGGTTGTTTGCGGAGCCCCAACAGACTTTGCTCTTCCTGGATTGGGACGACACGATGTTCCCCTGCACGGAGCTCTTCTACAAGCGCGGCTTACCGAAGCGCAGCAAGGATTGGACGCCTCCGGACCCTGAGCTCTTGGCCGCCCTGGAGCCCTGGCAAAAGGCAGTCAAGGAATTCCTTGGCCGCGCCTGCGCTGTCAGCGACCGCTGCGTCATCCTCACCAACTCACGCAAGCCTTGGGCCTGGGGCTCAGGAAACTCGGGGGGCAAAATAGAGTATATAGAGTCAGTATACAATATTTATATATGTATGTGTTATATATATATATATATTTATTTATTTACGTATTCTTGTATTCTCTCTATCCACCTTTGGCTTGATTGTTTCAAGGGTTGTCTGGCTGCCAACAGCTCACCGAGGTCACTTCTTGTCTGGGGCAGTTTGCACCTGAGCTCAAAAGCGCTTTCGAAGGAAGCGACGGGCCAATAATAGTTTATGCTCCTGAGGTTCTTAAGGAAAAGATGAAGCAGGAGTCAGATAAGAATGCATGTTGGGAGTGTTTCAAGCCATATTTGAATACTTGCTGCGGTGGGCTGGCGCAGTTTATGGAGAACGAGATGTCTCTGATGCGCGAGCGCGTACCGCAGCCCTTCTTTGACTGCACCCAGGCCAAACTTACGGCCATGAAAAGGGAGGCAGCCGAGTTTTATTCCCAATATCCGGGACAGACGTGGAAGAACATCATAAGTCTGGGGGACATGTTCTACGAGCACGAGGCAGTAAAGACGCTACAGGCCACTCGTGTACCTCAAGAGCCAAGAGAGCGCTTGAGGACGAAGTCTTTCGTGTTGTGCCCTGAGCCCTCTTTGGCGGCATTGACCTTGCAGCTGCGCGTCTGGTCTTTGCTGCTACCGCTCTGTGCTCGCTTTGATGGCGATGTGGATCTGGATCTCGGGAGGTCTCCCGTTCCTTTCGAGGACTTGGCTGCCGCCTTCAATCTGCCACAGCTCTCAAGGCTTCAGCTGCCCTCTTTCTTCCGAAGCGCAAGGGAAAGGCGAAGGAAGTCGGTTGAAGAGATGTTGGACCCCCGAGTTCCCGACTCTGACGAACTCACCGCAGACGAACATCGTGCTGCTGAAGAGTTCTTGGATGAGCTCACCATCATTTTACAGGATGCAGTCCTGATTCCCAAATTCATGAAGGCTGAATAAGCCCAGTAAACGAGTTGTGCAAACCCCTGGGGAAGGGCTTGCAGGGGTAGGGAGAGGATGGAGAGGGAGAGAGAGAGATCGCTGTCCTGACTGGGGGCGCTTTCCCTGAGAAAGAAAATGCTCTTTCTATCTTTCCTTGGCACTGCTCATACGGCCGTGAGATCAGTCAGCGCCTAGAAGCATGGATGGCAGCAAGGGGAGGGCAGTGGCACATGTGAACCCCGGAGCTGCTTCTGCACGAGCCGGTCAACTACAAGTTTCAGTCAGCACAAAACTGAGTGGTAAACGTTGCAAATGTTTGCACCGGGCCCCTGCGGGGTATCTAGCTGTTCTATGTAAGCTCCGTGGGAACTTGGCACTCAGAGAGTGCGGGCTATGGCATCCTTCCAGTCCCTGCTGCTGCAGCCCTGCTGCTCTAGCCTTCAGGCCGCCCAGACCTCGGAATTCGCAGCCCGACAGCACTCGCTCTCGCAGCGAAAGCGGCGACGTTGATTAGGCAGGCAGGTTAGACATGTGCCGGCAGTATCTGGACTACACTTGAGAGGTGGTTGGAGAAGGCTTTGCCTGGTACTACGTAGCATTTGCATAGCCACAAACGACCACCATGACGACTACAATGACAACATCTGCCGATGCTGCCACTGTNNACAGTGGCAGCATCGGCAGATGTTGTAGATCTGGTACTGCCAGCGCATGCATCTGCGACAACGATACCAGCAGCGCTCATGACAGCAATGACCACCACGACTATAGTAGGACTAGATTCGTGGCGACAGCTGTACAAACACATGTGCTAAGACAGGGAGGCGGAGGCCTTCAGCCTGCAGGGTAGATGCATCTGTCACGGGCCCAGGATCTGGAGCTACAGCCTCGCGACGGCCCGCCCATTCCATGTCACAAGAGCTTGCTTCGTGCACGGCAACTGGGCCTACACCGAAACTTCATGCACTCCGAATCTACAGATTCGTATATCGTATATGATGCTACGTATACTACACGCAGCACTATGATAGTAGATAAGTATTAGAGTAGATGCTCGTATATCGTGGTGTAATTTTTAGTATAGTCGACGCTTCCAGGTGCCCTCTCTTGCAGATCGAGCGGCCCTGCATTTCCGTGGACGAAGATCACGGGGAGCCTCGGAGGGAGGGTTTTTGGCTTCAGGGGTTCAGGTTTAGGGTATAATTAGTGGGTTTGTTGCAGGGATCCGGTAGTTTTATCAAGTCCAGCTGCAAAAAACGGGTTTCAAGCTTAAAGGTTTGGGGTTTGAGGATGCTTCAAAGCTGGCCGAGGTGATCTCCCTGCTGCTCGAGTGGGTCTACTGCGAGAAGATACACTTCAGCGGCGCTGGGACTGGCCAGGGGAGCCAGCGAGTTGACGAGGCCAAATCAAGCACCTAAACCCTACTCGTAGCATCCTGGGCGTCTTTATTGAAGCGCCGACGACATTTGTTGGGGACGTTTGGGGGCGCGGGACGAGGCTGCTAGGGAAGGGAGGCGTTCTGGTTCAAGGGGGTTTACGGTCTAGGGTTGGTTTTGATCAAATCAATTTGAAACTGGAAGCTATGGCTCAGATTGTTGGGATTCTGAAATCCCAACATTCCAGTAGACGCCTGGACCAGTCGGCCCGCAACCCAAGAGGAGCGCAATGATCCTAGGATCCAATGTAGGCATGGCTCGACAGTGGCTTCAATAACGATGCCCCGCTGCTCGCAAAGCATGCAGCTTCAGTAAGGGAGAGCATCTACAGTACAGGCGATCGTTGAAGATGTCGGCTGAGACTCGGGATGAGGCTGCCTGGGGGCGCAAAGTGCAAGAGCTGGCTGGTCGCGGGATCCAGCTCGGGCAGCTACTTGATTTTTATGAGTTGCTTGGCGGTGAAGATTCGATCATGCCGTGCTTCCATCCGGGTCGCAGCAAGACGAGTCTTACCAACAGTGGAACCTTAAAGTTTGTGGGTACTCTTGTCAACTGGTAATTAGTGGGAACCATCAGAAGGGATAGCCTGTTCCTACCCAAGCTGCAGAAGACAGGAATGACGTCGTCAGGCAGGCCATTATTCCACTTTCAGCACCCAGCCAGCCTTCTGCACACGGCCAAGCTTACGCTACCAAGCTAGCTGAGGAAGCGGGGCGAGAGCAGCCTGCAAGCAGAATGGTGACGCACAACTGGGAGAATGTCTTCAGCCATCTCATCGCCTCAGTTATTGCAGATGCGTTTGACGCGCAAAGCTACGGCCCCTTTCTTCTACACCTCGGCCATGAACGCCTTCCAGGTCTGAAGCGCGAGCTGTCAAGGAGAGGCAAGCTGAGTGTGAGCTACTGGATTTGCAGTTTCACTGTGAATCAGCATGCCAGCATCTGCGGAGGCTTTGGACCCGCCCCGCCCGAGGACAGCCAGGAATTCCTGGAGTGGGACCGCAAGCGTCATGATTCCGTGACCGGTAAAAGATTTCCGCTTTGCAGCTGTAGCACCCCAAAGTACTTCAATGCGGACCCGGACTTGACGGAGCTCAACAAGTTTGATCCCATGATGGAAGAGATGGCATGGCGCCATGAAGACATGAGACAGGTAATTGCAGTTGATGAGGACTTGGATCTTTTTAGCCGGGCCTGGTGCATTGCAGAAATACACATGGCGCACAAGCTTGCCATCGCCCAGGCGGTCACGTTGCTTGACTTGGACATGCTGGTGGACACCGAGAGCTTCTTCAGCCTTCGGATTGAAAACTGCAAGGCCTCTAGACAGGAGGATGTCGCGGAGATCTTGTCTAAGATCGAGGACAAGCCCAAGTTCAACAGGGAGGTGAAGAACTTGCTTTGCAACGAGGAACATGGAATTTTCGCCCATGCTTATGCGCACAAGGCACAAGAGCTGGCAGGACGAAGCATGGAGCTGAGCAGTATTCTTCATTTTTATTCTCTTCTGGGAAAAGAGATGATGCACCATTTTGATGGTGATAGGAGCACAACACATGATGTGGTTCGTCAGGCAATCATTCCATCATCGGTAAGCCAGATCCAAGGAACCGCTAATGGCAAAGGGTTTGCATATGCGACATTTGCAAAACCATGGGGCAATGTCCCGGCAGCTATCTTGGTCTGCCATAGCTATCTCAATCTTTTTGAGCACTTGGTGGCCTGTATCGTTGCTGACGCCTTGGGCTTGCCAACTTTTGATGGGGCCCTCAAGCGACTCCGCAACAGCCATTTTTTGCTGCATGACCTGGAATTGCATGAAGTGGGCTCAGCGTGCTACTGGGTGGACTGCTTCTGTGTCAACATGCACGACAATATATGTGGACAAGCTTTTGTACCTTTACACGATGCTGTCACCGGCATGCCGCATCCGGAGTGCACCTGCTGCAATCGAAAGCGCTGGAACGACAGTGAACTTTGCGAGATAGATAAGTACAGGGAAGTCATCCGTGCAGGTAGGGTGCGAATGCTTGTTGTTGTGGACGAAACCTTCGCGATCTTCCAGCGTGTATGGTGTATTGCGGAGATTATTGAAGCAAAGAAGCAAGACATTCCTGTTGTGCCCATAGTGTTCGAGCATTGTGCCCCTGCTGTTTGCGAACACTTTGAGTTTTATGACGTCCGCCAATCCGAATGTACCCGCTTGGAGGACAAAGACATGGTCTTGTCTGAAGTTCGCGATTTGGACGAGTTCAACCTTTACCTGCGACATGTGGTTTTGCAGGCCGCTGCACCCAGAAGTGAGAATGTGAGCTTATGGAAGCATCTGTTTGGATGGCTGACGTGTAAGTCAAAGCGGTTGCCAGCCACCCCAACAATCTGAAAAGGAGGGGGGGGGAGGGGGCGGGGCGGGGTTTAGGGTTTAGAGTTTAGGGTTTAGGGTCTAGGGTGAGGGTTTAGGCTTTAGGGTTAGGGTTTAGGGTTTAAGGTCTATAGGGTTTTGTTGAAGATGCAAGCAGCCACCGTGTGCTTATGTGTGATATGGCTCAGGGAAGGGCTACGAAGTTTCCCCTTGGGTCACGACTGTATAGAATGCTCGACTAGTGAGGCAACACCGTCGCACAATGTACACCCCAGCGACGTAGTAACTCACCCAAAGTCTTTTGAGCACGACATCTCAAAGCATGCGTTTGTTGTGAGGAAAATATCCGGAATCGCGTGTGCCATGAGCCTTTGATTTCTCATGGTTACTGGCTAAATTCGACATGGAGCCGATTCAGGGCTCAGATGACCGCTCTGGTCATCAGCAGGTTATGAGTGCCCAAGGTCCACTGCGCATGGGTAATGGGACAGGGGCAACAAGTCAGCAGACCCGTGGCGAAGAACCGCACGGGAATTTACCAGCAGCGTCGACTGAAGAGGATGCTCGGATTGCGGGCGAAGGAGGTGGACAGGAGGCCACTGCACAGGCATCGGTGGTGACTGCCCCGCAGCAATCGAGGGATGATGTTTCCGTCAACCCTGACGCCTCAGCTGAGGCACCCGTGCGCGAGCGGACCAGGCAACAAGCTTTTCTGGAGACTCATGATGCGGGCCTAGAGCGGGCGACTGGGATAGCGGACGGAGTACAACAGCAATCGTCGCAGTCGATGGCCTATATCACACCAAGGTCGACAGTGTCAATTCCGTCAGGAACAACCTGGCTTGGCGGAGTGGAAGTACCAAGATGGATGGCTAGATTGGGGTCCTACTTGAATCTGGGATCGGTGGCGGATCCACTGTTTCCGAGTCCGCTGGCAGGATCTATATCTGGAGAGTCACCGCCTGGTGGACGGGCGTTTACTCTGAGGTCACCGCCTAGGAGAGAGCGGGTATCTCAACCTATAACGCCTTCGTCATCTTCCATTCCTGCGGAGGCGATTCAGTTGGAGGTGCAACGACAACTGGGTGGCATTTTGAGCCGTCTGCAAACGGCTGAGGCAGAGAACGACCGCCTGAGGATGGACCTACAGCGAGCCCAGCAGCGAGAACAGGTACCTGGAGGTGTCAATAATTTTCTTCCTACATTACCTCAGCTGGGAACAGACAGAGTGGGCAATGATGTGGGCATACAGGAAAGAGTTATGAATACACCAGCTTTTGGAAGCAATACTGGAGGTCTGTTTGCAGGAGTGGCACCCATATTTGGTGGACCCGATACACGCATTCAGCCAGGAGGATTACTGGGTGATTTACTTACAATGCCATCAGGACCTGGGCCTACATCGGGTTCTGCAGTACAGACAGCCTTGCCTACATCGGGTTCTGCAGTACATACAGCCTTGCCTACGCCAGGTTCAGCAGCGTATATATCTCCATATCCAACAAGTGGTGGCGTGCAGTCGATGCCGTCGTCACAAGCAGCTCAGGCTCCACAGATATCTCAACCGGTACCTCGGGCCATGACTTCAGCCACTGAGTATCACGACAAGTCTACAGCAAGTGATCAAGCACAGCAAGAAGGATTCCTGAGGAGTTTACTGGGATCGAGAAGTCGGAGCCCCACTCCACCACCAGCGCCGCAGCCACAGCAGGCACCAGACTCGCCAGTTATTGATATGTTGGCAAAGAGTATTCAGCAACTGCAAAGTTTGCAAGCGCAGGCACTCACTAAGAGTGGGGCCAGCGGAGGAGCCGAGCAAGTTAAGCCAGGGACGGCCACGCTAGCACAGTTACCGGATCCTCGAGGTGGTTGTGAGGCCGCTCTTCAATTTCAAGACTGGTTAGAAGTAGCTGGCTCGGTGTTGTCAGATGTCTCTGAACAAAGTGGACAATGGTGGAGAGGGCTGATGATGATGGTTGAGACAACGTATTCGAAATGGTTGGCTGCAACACCGCTGGAGCGACTACATATTGCTCCTCATGGGTCTGAGGAGCTTACAACAGGGCGATGGACAAGGCTGAACGCGAGGATATCGTCGATGCTCCTAAGTGCTATGGGGGACAATCTGAAGTCGGATATGGTTTCTCAGCGTCTAACCCAGGATGCGGTGAGAATGGGTTTCAGGATGTTCACGACTTATCAACCAGGTGGATCGGCGGAGAGACAGGACACCTTGACGAGGCTACAGTCGCCACAGGAGTATGTTACTGTTGACACAGCTGAAGCAGCCCTTTCAGCAGTGAGAGCCTGGCCTAGATGGTTGGCAAGATGCAGGGCTGTGAACATGGCCTTCCCCGACCCTTCGGTCTTAGCTCGGGGCCTTATGTCAATTTCGGCCAAGTACATCAACCAGTCCCCCGATGCTGCTTTCCGTACCAGCATGCTACGCACCAGCCTCCGGATAGACGCTCAACCTTCACTGGATCAGGTGGTAGGATATCAGCGCCACCTGCAAGCAGAACTGGAAACAATCGCTGGTGCAAGCATAGCATCGACTACCACGTCACCAGGAGTACGGGCGCTGGAAAAGGGTGGCTCACCAA